TCCCCGAGGAGTCTAGCCCATCTTGTGATGCCGCGGAGCACCGAAGCACCGACACAGACGGTACCTGCGAAGAGGCACTCGTCTGAATCGCTTCAATGATTGCGGGTTGCAACACTGCTGCGGGGGGTGTGGCCCGAGGAACAAGCGTCTGGGCTTTATTCCACACCGTGACCGTCAGATCACCCTGTCTGCGAGCCGAAGAGCTACCCCTAGTAGAGGAAGCAGAACGGGTAACGGATGCGGGGACTCTCACAGTAAGATCATTGAGTCTCAATCTCAGTGTTGTGATGGTCATGTTCCCACAGAAAGAACATGAGTCATCCACGAACGCTGCCTCTGCATGCTCAATGCCCAGACACACAAAACAGCGCTCGTGCCCATCAGAGGAAGACAAGAATCGACCGCAACCAGAAGAACACGGGCGAACCATCTTTAAAAAGACGTGCCACGTGCAGCTCTTTCAGAATGAGAGGAGGAAATTCATTTTTTCAGCACTGAGGCGACCAGGGAGAAGCGCAAAGTCTGGCAGACCACTGCACAGATTGCAGGCAATGCAGAATCTCTCTGGGTACCGCCGTCACACCAACACTGGAGAGGACGCTCGTCTCGAAGAGTTGTAACTCAGTGAAAAGTGGCTTGTGGAGTGAAGAAGTCTCTTGGCTCCGAAGCGAAAACATACTGCGGTTGCGTCTGCTTCCTCCTTTTATACCCACGAGGTGGGGCGGAGATACGCTATGCAAATTCCGCATCCCCAAGGCATTTTCATGCCATTGGCTCATTTTTAAATACTCGAAGAGGATTGGCTTTCTATGCGAAACCGACATAACTCGGAGTGACTACGAAAGGGAACTCTCACGATCGCAAGGCGGATGTGTTGGATTCTGCAGTCGCACGCAGTTGCTCACTACCGACAGCGCTGATTAAATCCATGATGGGAAACAACTTGCTGACGACACAGCTTAATGCTTATTGGTTTAAACAACCATGATGTAGGCTGTTGTTCTCTTTTAAAATGTTTGAATGTAACATATTATTTAACATGATATCATGTTTTATGTGTTTAAATTATGTGTGAGTATTCCTAAACTCTCTGACAGTGATCTCTATGGGTTATTTGATTGATGTCGTATATACATAAAAAAAAAATATATATATATAAAACATGTCTGTATTTAAAGTAAAAAATATTGAAAAAGATGTATTTGTATTGTAATTAAATAACAAGTACTTTGAGTGTCTTGTTCATTATATTTATTTTCATATAAAAGCAACAGAACTTAAATTGCATTAAGTTTATTAGGAACACCGTGCCAGAGCGTGAATTCTGTGATATCCGCCTTAGATCTCACAGGTGTCAGATGAATCACTGCGAGAAGCGCAATATTGCAATATCCGATTATATCGTATACCCAAGACCCGCCCTCAACATGCCCCGCAGGAGACTTCAATGGTGACATACACCATAAACAAAACATGTTGAGTTTGGCTACACTTTATCTAATGATAGCCTGGAATTCAGCTAGTTTATTTAATGATTGAAACGCCTACATTTTTTACCTTGTTTAGTTTGAGCTTGAACGAACATAAAACATTAGCTTTGCTGTTATGTTAGTGTTGCTAATAATTTTCACACGGTTCTTGTCGCAGACATGTTTGAAACAAATTTTGTTTCGCAAGGAGAAATGTTGAATACAACTGAACAGAACATACCCCAGTTTGGCGATTGTAAGGATAGTGAATGCATGGTGCTGTCAAGGTGTCTTGCTTATTTGTTTTTCACAAGGTCCGATTTTTCTCTTTCTTTTTTTGCAGTTATCGCCTGATTTAATGATGATAAGTTTAATTTCCTAACTATAACGTGCACTGTTTTTAAACTTGTATTTAAACTACAAATAATATATTTGCTATTTGTCTAAAATTAGGGATTAAAACGAATTGTTTTGTTTCCCCCTCCAGAGTTCCAATGTCTCCTTAAGCCACTTACGAAATAAAAAATACTGCTTTATTTATTTAGACACAGAAGTCATTAATAATTATATTTGGGTTAAGGCACGGGCTCGTGCCTTCAGATCAGTTGGACATGACTGTGGTTACACGAGTTAAAAATGATATAAATAACTGTTTGTTTTCTCACACAAACCACTCGTTTCATGTCTTAGGCCATCAATGTGTACTTACATTTACAAGTCACTAAATCATGTTTAATTTTGACTTCTCTGTGCATGCTCTTTGAGGTGAACCCAGCGTGGACCCCCTAAACCTGCATTATTTGACTGATAGACAACAACGGTTTGACCGAAAAATATCAAAATTGAAAATACTGTGGACACAAAGACACCTACATCTTGGATGCGCTTGAGGTAAGCTAAGACATATCAAAAATTAATTTCAAAGTGAACTATCCCTTTAATGAATGCTATCAAGAAGAATCGCTTTTCTATTCCTAACCCTACTAACTAGTCTATAGAAAAATTTAATTCATGCTATTGCATGTCAATAAATATGTGTGTATCTAGAGGGCTATGTGAAATATGTTTGTCTTTTTTTTTTTTTTTTAATTGGCGATTATTGTCTGGAAACAGACATCGCAATACTTGCGTGACATCGATAATATTGTCATATCGGCCCAGCCCTATTGTGTAGTCAGCTTCAGTGATTATAATGGAACTTTTCTATAACGGAAGATTGCGATGAACTAACTCACTTTATTTTTAAGGGTTTCTTTAAAGGGTTAGTTCACCCAAAAATGAAAATTAAGTCATTAATTACTCATTAATTACTTAATTACCCTTAGATTTCCACGACGCATGCGCGAGAATTGCGATCTGCTTACACTACTTCAGATCGCAATTCTCGCGCATGCGTCGTGGAAATCTAAGGAAATCTCGTTTCTGGCCTACAAGGAAGAAAAGAAATAGTCGAATAAACTCGTTATTTTTGTTTGTTTTTTCGCACAAAAAGTATTCGCGGCGCTTGATAAACATATAGTTGAGCCACGGTAGTCACTTGGGATATTTAAACATTTTCTTCATTGACTTTCTGGGTCGTCAAGAGGAGCCAATGTGGTAGTTATACAGCTCTCAAATTTAATCAAAAATATCTTCATTTGTGTTCCGAAGACGAACGAAGGTCTTACGGGGTTGGTACAGCATGGGGGTGAGTAATTAATGACTTAATTTTCATTTTTGGGTGAACTAACCCTTTAACACATTCTGTTGACTAAGTAACGTTGTATTAGTAGTAGAGTATTAGTAGACTGGTAGGGTTTGGTTTAGAATAAGTTGACATGTAGTTACAAAGTTACTGTTGGGGGACCAACATAAAGAGTTAGCAGATATTAAGCACACAGTCTATTAATACTCTAATGACAGTTAGTTGACATGTAGTTGCAAAGTTACTCATGGTCAACAGAATGTTAAAAAGGGACCATCAAAATATACCAAAACCCACATACAGTATGCTTGCTTTTCAGTTAAAATTATCAGTGGTTTGTGAAACCAAGCCACTTTAGTTAAAAATTATTTATCGGGAGCATTTATGCTCATTATGTGGACGTTTCTAATCTCTTCAACTGAATTTCTGAGATTAAGAATTATGGATGTCTATACATTTTTTGTTTAAATAGTTCTAAAACTTAAGTCAACCCCCTTGGCTCTCCCCAACAACTGTGTAATGCTGGCTCAATAGCTTCCCCTGTGTTTGTAAGTGTTTCCTTAAAGGCAGGACAGGCAGTTTGTTTCTAAAACACTTTTTTTTCAAGAACTGTCTTTATATACCAATTCATATCTAAAATGAGAAGCAGAATCAATCGAATGTCTGTAGTCATCTCAGGGCTGCAATAAACACAGCTACTCTTTCCATTTGGAATGAATGAAATGATTGTCTGGGCGACTGTCACTCTTCCTCGCTACCAAGGCTACCACCCCTGCTGCTGCAGGAGCTGCCCATATGCGTGCACTCGGTTGACTTGCTCATTTCAAAAGAAGAGAGGCACGTACCGGCCGGAAGCTTGAAAGTCTCACAATTATGGCAGAGAAAGAGCAGTCAAATTTCCACCTGTACCTGCATATGAAGAGTTCAGATGCAAAACCCTCTAAATGCCATTTGAAATTTTCTTCTTTAATGATGATTTTTATTAAACTTGTATATTTAAGTTCAGTAATTTCAGTTAAATAACAATTAATAGGTAATTATCATTGCCATTTAAGTGAAATCACTGAACTTAAATATACAAGCTTGATAAAAATGATCATTCTAGAAGAAAATTTCAAATGGCACTTAGAGGCTTTTGCACCTGAACTTTTCATATACAGTCAGGGCAGGCAAACAAGACACAAAAAGGTGATGTCACTCCATCACGCGTTCATGTGTTTTGGGGACGTAGCTTTGGAAGGAGCCAAGAAGTGAGGGGGTGGGAGCAGTTTTCTGCTAGTTTCTCAAACGTACCTACTCTTTAAGTTACAAATAAAAATAAAAATTGAGTCGTCTTTGATGCCAGCCTGTCATTTGAGTCTATTGTGCAGAACACTGTTAAGACCTTCATTGAATAATAAGAAATGTTTCTTGAGCAGCAAATCAGCATATTAGAATGATTTCTGAAGAATAGTGACACTGAAGACTGGAGTAATGATGCTGAAATACATCAGAAATAAATTACATTTTTAAATATATTCAAAGAGAAAACATTTATTTTAAATTGTAATAATATTTCACAATATTACTGTTCTACTCTATTTTTGATCAAATAAATTCATTGTTGATGAGCATAAGAGACTTCTTTAATAAAACATTTTTAAAATCTTACCGACCCCAAACTTTGGAACAGAAGTGTATGTGATACTGAACATGAGCAGCACTTACAAAAAATAAATAAAAAAGCATGACATTTCCATGGTTCTGTCTCCATAAACATCATACTTTTATATATTTTTTTGTAAACACCAACTGTTATGAGTATAAACTATGGAAAGGTTCTAATCCTGTATTAAATGAATACTCACTACTGGAATGTTTCATTGAATTTTGGGGACCAGTTGTTGTTCTTGGTTTTGGTGCTAAACTTGCGTTTCTTGTCCGCCAGGTGTGGGCCGATGGCGTTAATCTCCACGAAGGGGCGAAACATGGCATTGGTCTGCCAGTTGATATTGTTCACACCCACAACTGCAGAGAAGAAGTGGATGGTCTCGAGTTAGATCATCAAACACTACTCTGGTGAGACAGACATTGAAGTCACCATAAAATCAAAATGGACAATTCTTCTTCTTCTTTTTTTATGGAATAGGAACATTGTAGTATTTATTACAAATGACACATCTGTGGACATCATTATTTTTAAAGTCAGAGAGAAACATGCCAATTCGATTCATTTAGACCTCAGAGTTTCTTAATCATAAATTAATCGCTGTGTGTGTGTGTGTGTGTGTGTTACCTTTGACGCTGACTTTGTGCTCTCCAGTCCCGGGGTGTGAGATCAGGTCCACCTGGATGGCGACCTCCCCGTTGGATGCAGTCGTGGACTGACCTGGAATCAATGTTGAGTCACATGAACTTCATACTGTATGTCACATAAGAGCAAGCGCAACACACTGATCCACACACCAATATACAATAAAACCATAGAAATCAGTAGTCAATTATTGTGATCCAAATTAATTATTATGTAAGTGTAACATATCAGTAGGGATTCAGTACAATAAACATTCAAAACATTTTTTTTTCCAGAAAGTGTTTGTTTTATTTCTCATATCTTTGTAGATAACTGGTATCACTCCAAGACAGGTTTGTTCAGTAGTTTTCCAGATATTTGCCAGAAGGTGAATGGAAAACCTACTTAAGAGGTTGTTCCACATCATTAAGCAAGTCACAGTTCTGAAGCAATATGGGGAGGAAGAAAGATCTTTTTGAATATGAAAAGCATGCAAAGTCTTGCAAAAGACATGAAAACAACTGATATTTTGCGAAAACTGAATAGAGATTTTCAAACTGTCAAAAGATTTATTAATTATTTACAGAACAGAAGAACTCGGTCAGATAAAGGCTTGTAAAGGAAAGTTTCAGTCAAACACAGGGCTGTCACAGTGAAGGAATTTCCCTTGCGATAATTTTGAGTGGCTCAAAGTCAATAGCGCGATATGTGATATTATTGCCATTCATTTATATTTATTTATTGCTATATAAATAAGTGTTACGATGTGATCAGTAAGCATGAAAATGAGGCCATGTTCAGTAACCAATGAAACCAATACTAAACAGAGCGTTGAAACAAGAAGTGAAGTAAACAGAAGAGAGTGTCAAAATAAGGGTCAACATAAATCTGACAATAAGCCTGTTGTGCTATTGTTATATTATGTAAAACAGTTAGTTCCATTTTTCTGTCCGAGTCTGGCCCGCGTCTGACAGGGCAGTACCAGAACCCGACCCGAGCCCCACAGGCATTAAGATATTTATGTCTGAGCCCGACACAGTTAAAAATCTCTCTTTTTTTTCTCATACTAATGACACGTATGTTTGTTTGTGTAGAAAGCCCGCTTTTATTTAGCAACTGGAAGACATTCGGAAATGTTTACAGATGTGCGCAGTGCATCAGCGTGCGCCAAACACAGCCAACAAAGCGCATGTTAACACAGGCGCGCACAAGAGGCCAATCAAATAACCAATAGTAATTAAATTAACAAAGCTAGGTCTATATTAAATCATCCAAGCTAACAGAACAAAACATTAACATAACACAAATGCAGCTTATTGGAATGAATATCACTCTTACCATTTTTCTCGAAAACTGTGTGGCTAATAAAACTGTAACATGGGATCTGTTCACATAATCTATCCTTCAATGTTCAGAAAAAGGATTGCATCAATGGTGGATGGCTTCAAGGCTGTCCTCCTCTGCGCGATGGTCCTGCCAGCAGCACTGAAGTTGCGCTCACTGCTTTTGCTGCTGGCTGGAATAGCAAGGATGCCGCAGGCAAGGACACTAAGCTTCGGGTAGTTGAGTTGATGATCGCTCGTATGATTTTGAGTCGAGTATATATCAACTTCGTCTGTGGCATCTGCCACAGGTACATTTTCCTACTCTTCAAAGTCAAGTGCAGCTTTCTTGGGCGTGAGTCTTTCAGTGGCGGTCTCCTGGGTGCGGAGGTCACTGAGCTGTCTCCGAACCTCCTGGAGAAGATTGTCTCTCTCTCTGAGGACTACAAAATTCAGAGCTGGCTATATTTAGGCAAAGTTGCAAAATTGAGTTGCAATTTTTTGGAGTTCTTCGATCTCTACTTTACGCAAAATCCAACTGAGATGCCGCTCGCAGATGATGGCTCGATAGGGGCTGTCAGTCGTTTTTTTGTTGCAGTGGCGCTTCAGCCGCACAAACCACAGAAACACCAGGTTTATGGTTGGGTACTGGTCACCTTCAAGTTCACGCTGGGCATCGTAAAATGGTTGCAGGAACTCGACAAGAAAGTCAAGGACATTTGTAGATATGGCATCGATCTGTCAGCCCTGCGCAATCATTTAGTTTTTCGCGTAGTTCTTGATAAACTGAGCGGACAGAGTTTAAGGTCAGATATACCATGCTAAACCTTGTGTCTGCCATTTGGATGACTGTTTTTTGACAGCAAAGCTGCCATGCTCGATTTTTTGACATATTTGACCAGTGCCTTGGTAGCTTGCAGAGTGTCTGCAACAGTTGGAGCATCTTGGGCCAGTTGTGTGGGGTCTAGGGCGTGTCTCCTCACTGTATTATAAACGTGATCTTGGCAGTCAAGTCTTCGATATGGTCTGAGGGCACTGACGATGTTTGAGCCTTGGTCTGTCACCCACACACCTTTATTCAGCAGACTCATATCCAGGCCATACTCCGTTAGAAGTCTGATGATTTCTCTTCTTATATTAACCCCGTCTTAGCCTCTTCCAGTGGGAATGCGACTGTTGTTAATACGGTACTTATCATTTTAAATGATCGTGTCACGAAATGGCCAGTGATGGTCAAGTAGCTTAATTTGTGGTAGTCCTCCGTCCAGATATCCGTTGTCATGCCGATCGAATTCACCTCAGTCAGAGTGTAATTTAGCTGCTCAACAGGCTTTGTGCGTTTCTCTATTGCCAGCTCACGGCACCGTTTTGACACAGTGGTGGGATCAGGTAGTACATCCTGCGCTGCCACCAAATGTAGCACTGCTGGGCCAGCTTAATGAAACCCTCTCCTTCAATGGAACGAAATGGCCTTATGTCTTTACAGCAGTACTCAATGCATTTTTCAGTCAGTTTTTGTTTGTCCTGCTGAGGAATTTTTTTTGAGGAACTGGCAAAGGCAGTGATGCTCGACTTACAATTTCTATCCACATGACGATGCAGGGCGGAATTCCCGGTCCTCTTGCTGTCATATTTCATGAGAAATCCACAACTCTTGCATTGAACATAATCAAAATGTTCATCACTATCAGCCTTGACAACTATGTAGAAAAACTTCCACACAGTCGACTTTCCTTTATTTTCGGTGGTTTTAAAATCTCCTGAGGCCAACTTCTTTTTAACGTCTTCCTTTGTTGCGCTGCCAGCCACATGTAGCCAAATATGCAATATTATGCACGCACATGTTGCGCGTTGACACAGCAACATAAACAAATTTCCGCACACATGAAGATGGAGGTTTGGGTAATATTTTTAATTAATTTTAATCACAAAAAACAAACATTTGCATCCAGTTAAACATTATAATAAGCTGTTGTAAATTTCATATGTTCAATGCCTTATCGCGCCGACCGAGCCCGACCCGAACCCGAAAGTCATTTCAAAATATGTGCCCGAACCCGGCCCGTTGGGTACCGTCGGATCCCGTCGGGCTCGGTTTGGGTATCCATCCTCTACAACGGACCATCTTTGAGCGAGTCATTAAACCATTAAACCGTTCATTCAATGAACACGTTCAAAAAAGCTGATTCATTTAGGCCTAAAGATAGATGTAATGAAACATGCTGTTTGAGCTCCACTTTTCAAGGCATTGAAACTGCATTGCTCTGCGGTTGGCTTGTCAGTATCGCGGTATTACAATATTGCGGTTAAAAGAGAAATGGTTACAATTTTAACTCTATCCTCACTGGAGTAAATTCAGACAGATCGCTCCTGAACGTGAGAATAAAGGAGGAGGAATTGGTGTGTTCTGTATCTTTGCATTTGCCCTTCAAGGTTTGAAAACAGAGAAACTGTCAAGGCCACATTTGCCAAAACTAATTCAAGAACACATGACATGTGTCGGCTAAATGAACAACTACAGAATTACCTATAGCGTCCACGGCAGACATCAACAATCAATCAATATTGGATTACCCTTGTCTCTGCTTTCATTTGCTCTCTAACCTCGTAACAAACACTGTGTTTTATAAAGAGTCACTTTGGCAGATGCCTGACGGGCCCCTGGTTTTATTTTCCAAGCCAAAATTAGACAGGGAAATTTAAAAGACTTTTACTATAACACAAAAAATGGTAAACTATGAAAAATGTTGTGATCGCCAGAAATGTTTTCATTTTCAATTTTCATGGATCTTAGATTTTCAGAACTTTTTCCTTTGAATTATTAATCTTTTACAATGCGAATCAGCATTAAACAATCTTATTGTAATGGACCTCATGTAGAAAACTTAAATAATAAATATATGGTGTGTTATGCCCACTTTAATTTAAAAAAATTAAAAAATTAAATAATAATAATAATAAAAAAAATCTCTTCTTCTCTTCTGGTCAGACTGAAAAAAAAAAAGAAAATCCTGTCCAGAATCATTCACGTTGACTCTGAACTACAGTGAAAGGGTGTCGTAGCATTGCTGGCCCCCACTGGATACATTTTCACAGGCCTTTTCACAGACAAAGAAAACAAACTTGTCTCTGGAGGGTTTTTTTTAAAGTTAGTCCAGAAACAAGTTTTCCTCCCCCAAGAGGAAGATTTAAAGTTTAAAGTTTTCCTCCCACAAGAGGAAACTGGGGGACTGTGGGAGATTTTCACTTGAATCAGGGAAAGTGAATCGATCATTTCCAAAGCTAATGGGAGGGAATCAGAGGTCACAGCAACCAATGGAAGCACTAATTAAACTGCGTTGACATTTCTGCATATAACTGAGTTAGACTTTTTTCTGAGATGAGAACATCATCTAAATCAAGATAAAAATAAACCACTTCACATTTCTCAGCGGGTTTGCACCATTATCACATCATCACTGCATTGAAATACAGGACGACACACTGTACCAAGAAGATGCACACAAAGGCATCTTGACTACTGTAGCTAGATATGGAAACAACAGGTGAATATATAATGATAGATAGTTAAGTGTAGATGTATAATGCTGTTAGATAAAATTTTTAACCCAGTTTAAACATGCAAAATAACTTTTTCGGCATGACCCAGTGTGACGTGTCTGTTGTGTAAAATCGCCAGAGATTCTCCTTTTGAACCAAGGGTACCCTGGATTATATCAATCACCTGTTTTCCGAAAGAAAATTCTCTAACTGCAATGATGAATAACTCCAAACATGAAGTTTAATGAATTATAAACAGTGTAAAGGGAAGTAAACACATCCTCACCTCAAAACACACACACACACACTGTGTAATAAAGAAATCATATTCTGTACGCAGTCTTTGCCTCAGGAGATCAGAAAGAAAGAGAGACAGGAACTGAAACTGTGTTAGTACACTTTACAGAACACAGCACAATATGCTGTATACTGTATGCTATTAAAAATCAGTGTTTAAGGCTACGTCCACATTAATCCGGATACATTTGAAAACGGGGTTTTCGTTTAAAAACGCTCTCCGTCCACACTAGCGTTTTCAGGTGTTTTCCGACGTTTCAGTGTGGATGAGAAACTTCTAAATTCACTTTACTGCGCATGCGTGAAACTTCACAAAAGCTCACTGAGATGATACAGATGGGAAAATAAATAATAATGTCATCGCACAATAACAGGATAATTTTATTTAGCAAAATATCTCACCATCACGGATGCGTCCAGGTCACATTCAGTCACCATATAAAAACGCAACTGCTCTCCTGTTTTGCCGCAGGACAACAAATGTGAGTAGACTACACTGTTATCTTTGCAGTACTGTGCTATGAAGAATAGCACATATTAAGTAACATAGAAAGTAACATATTTTAGCAATAGTGTAAAAATGAATAACACATAACAGGCACAATACCGATAAACATGAATATCTATTGGTACTACATGGATCACATGACTAAACTTACGTCATCGTTTTGAAATACCACACTACAACGCGAAAACGGCGTTTTCAAATTTATCCACTTTGTAGAGCGTTTTCCAAACTATACGTTTTTGTTGACTTAAAACGGCGTCTCAGTGTGGACGGAAGGCCAAAACGGAGAGAAAAATGTACGTTTTCAAACGAAAAAGTATTAGTGTGGACATGGCCTAAAGCAGTAGGCACCAATTAATGTTCCAAACAGTAGTGTGGTTGTTGTTACATGACCACAGTGGAAATAGAAAGTCACATCAATCAAGTTGTATTGTGGGATATAGTGGCTCTGTTCCAAAATCTAGTGAGCTGCATTGCTGTTTACGGTCTACATAAGCAACTGCCTTCCAAACACTGTTGTTCTTTTTAACTAAAACTAATAAAATTGCTTTTGTTTATTGAAATAAAACTGAAATAAAATGACTATTAGATGAAAAACCATAAAACGTAAAAATGGGAAATGTTGCTGTACCAACTAAAATAAGTTTAAGTACTAAAATTTGTAAAAATGAAATAAAAATAAATTAAAGCTAAATAGAAATATTAGAAAACTCAAAAACTATTAAAAATGACAAAAGCACATTCCAAAATAACTAAAAATAAATTAAATGAAAATATAAAAATAAAAGCTCATTTAATATTGATAAATATAATAAATACAATAAGAATATAACCTGTAAATAATATTAATTAACGCTGCCTCTAAAGCAGCATGGTGACTGAAATGGAACCTAATAAGTAACCAATTTGGAACTTTCAATATAGACAATGTGTCCTAAAAGTAATGCCTGATCTACACTTGAAGCATGTAAGCTATGCAATGCCATACTATAATATTAATAAGCATAAAAATGCACAGCACACAGAAATAACTGTTTCACTGTGAGTAAACCTATCTCTCTCACTCCCTCCAGTCCTGACAGAGAGATATATGATGAGGTCTGCCAGGAGCACAAACATGGTCTTACCTTGAGAGGTTTGGGTGCATATATATTTCTTGATCAAGGCATCTGTGGGTTGAGTGTAAAGGCTGAGGGCGTATTTCAAGGACTTGAGATCGGGGCTCTTTTCCAGGAAGGTTTTCTTCAGACCGTTTCCACCAGCATGGAAATATTGCTGAAAGGAGAAACGAAAGCACTGGTTACTAAAAGAGTCAAACATGCTGTTTGTAGCTACGGATCAGCCATCCATCACAGCCTTAACCTGAAAAATCATTTATTCATTGTGACTGAGCAAAATTACCATATGAAATAAAACTTTTTAGCTGTCACTGTGGGAAGTAATTCAGGGATATTCGCAACAAGGGTTCTCATACTAAGCAGCACATGTAGATGTCATAGAAATCATAGTTAATTTTCTTTTATCTCAATATCACAAATTAGTGAAAATGGGGCACAGCTGGAAGAAAACAAAACTAGAGGTATTTTGCATTATGTGGAAGGACAGTGTTACTGCAAACAGAAAAAAGTCATGAAATCCGAAAACATCTTTTGAGAAGTTAACAGATATGTACAAGGTTACACATCAATAAAAAGTATCCATTTTTTTTCTTACGGTTTAAAAATAAAAGTTGAACCAACGTCATGAAAAGTGGTCCGAATTGCAGCAGCTAGAGTTCTTACTAGAACCAGGAAGTACATTATGTCAACACTGCATTGGCTCCTTATTAAATATTGTATACATTTTAAAATCGTAATACTTTTAAAGCCCTAAATGGTTTAGATCTTTAGTACTTGAGCGAGCTCTTAACGCAATATAGTCCTTTACGTCTGCTGGGGTCAAAAAATATTTAGATTGGGGTCTCTTTTTCTTATTTACATCCCAAACTCTGGAACAGTCTTCCTAACGTTATTCGGGGGGCAAACACACTCTGTCCGTTTAAATCTACAATTAAGAAAGAGTCACACGTCTGGAAATTCCGTTGGGTCGTAAAATTCATCAGTCTTGTAACAGAGTTCTGTCAGTGTTGACTTCATTAGTGGGGGAAGTTTCATAGAGTCTATGTATGTGTGTGTGTGTGTGTGCTGTGTATGGATGGTCCCTGGTGAAGATCGCCAAACCATAAAAGTGTCTGAAAGTTCCTCTTAGTCCCAGACATGTTGGTACCATTTTAGACTTAGATTGTCACGATTTCTGATCTACATTCGCGAGTTCAGAGTCTAAAAGCTTTGGGGATTTCAGAAGGAATGTGCATTATTTGTGTTCAGATGAACCATGATTCTGGTTCAATCATTAGGGTGTTGGAATGCATGATTCACTCTGGTGTGGCCCAGAGACCCTATAAAAGCATTATTTAATTAAATAATTATATTTTATTTACTGACAACAATTAGAAATATTAATTAATTAGTAAAAGAATGAATGAAAGTAATCATCACACAATAAACAAATGTATATAAAAGTCAACACATGAAACAAAGCTTTATTCAAACTACAATCATGTATGTGGACTACAGGCACTGAACCACTTCCCACTGCCATCTCAACACAGCGGTTCCCATTCTGTAGCTTTATTCTGATGAATCAGCTGACCGCCAGAGGTGAGCCGCTCCTTCGTGCCTGAGGTTGTTGCATGATGTGTTGTGCTTCACAATCTGAGGAAATAAGGGCAGGTGGAGTGATGGAGGGTCTCATCCATGGCACCACTTCCAGGATTCAGCTCTGAGCTCCTCATTCTCAGTGCTCACAGCAGTCTGCAGACTTCAGATCCTACAAAAATGCACAAACATAACACAAAAGCAGTCATTTTAGCAACACAATGTAATTTGATTTCAGAATTATTTAGAAGACAAACACGCTTTTTTTGCAAATCCATTCAAGAATCGTAAAAGTGCTGCAATAGCTCTGTTTGAAATTACAATCATTCAAATAAACTACAACTTAATATTTAAATAGTTGTTAATAATTTCTGTAGTATACTCACTCAAAACCTTTAATGGCAAGATTCAGCTTCATGAGCCACTCTCCATTGGATAAACACACATTTGTTCATCTGTGCCTGTAACATCCTGACAAGATTCACACAACCTCTGTGATTTATGAGCTCAACACTATATTTATATGTTGAGGTTGTTCTATCTTTTTAGCCAACATAAATGATCATCAATTTATCAACAGTACTAATGGACTTATGTTTAGTTTCTTTATAGATTTGTTCTACATAATAGCACACATACATCACTCAGATGGCTATTTCATGTTGTGATGTGCTCTTCTGCAATACTTATTGAAGATTTTCCTGTCAGATGTAAATAGACATTTACAATCAGCGTCTTTAAGATGTATGCTTTATGTAAATCCACTTTAGAGATGTAACTTACGTGTGCTTACTGGAGCTCCCCTGTTAGCTATACATAATAAAACGTGTTTTTACAGCAAAATCACAACTATACTATACTGTCTAATGTCTTTAAACCTTCAACAATTCAACAGTTTACAGTAGTTCAGCACATGCAATTTTAACACAAAGGACTACGAAACTCACATTTGATCTCTGCGATTGTTGATAATGACGTATCCTCTCGCGTGGCCTCCTGGGATAGAAATGTATCCATCTGATGAGCACTCGAAAATCTGTCCTGAACAAGGGGGTAATCAATCGACTGGAAGTTGAAGCCGGCCGGGTGCCGCCATCTTGAAGCAGAACTTCACTTGAGTTAGCATTTCCATTGACTCCAATTAATTTTGGCGTCACTTTGACAGCGAATAACTTTACATCTGAGGCATTTGAAGACTCCATTTGTCCATTATTTAATTCTAAAGAAACACGACAATGTATAAAATGCTCCATTACCTTGTAGCTTAAGTTATGGCCCCGTAGAAGCAGTTTTTTGTAAAAGTAGGCTAACGATTGAGTCATAACCACTAGGGATGGGCAATGATTAATCGCGATTAATTGCATCCAAAATAAAAGTTTGTGTTTACATAATATATGTGTGTAGTGTGTATAATTAATATGTATATATAAATACCCACACATGCATGTATATTTAAGAAATATGTGCATGTATATATTTTATATATATTTATTCACAATTAATATTATATATAAATATAAATATTTGATACATTAATAACACATTTTTCTTAAATATATACATGCATGTGTGGGTTTTTATATATACAAATTAATTATACACACTACACACACATATATTGTGTAAACACAAACTTTTATTTTGGATGCGATTAATCACGATTAATCGTTGCCCATCCCTAATAACCACGCGACTCTCTGTCACACAGTAGAGAGATTACCGTATGGTCAGGAGGAGAAGCTTGCGGGCTATCAGGGAAACGTGGAGGCAAAATGACAAAATAATTAATCAGAATATCTAGCAAAAGTTTCTCCTGCTCCTAGTTCATGGACAGCTCCTACTCACACTCTCCGCCTCTGCAAGTTTCAGAAGGGAATGATTCAGATTTCTCATGCCACAGCCACTAGAAGACAGACGGGTTGCTCACGTCACATCTACGTCGTCAAGCTCTGTTTGAGTCGGACTATATTCGAACGGACTATAAGTATACACGTCTGAATCTTGCGATAATTAGTACGTCACCCAGGTATTCTCGCCTACACTTTTATGAATACAGAGGATTCATACATACTTTTTCTCTTGACTACTCTTTTTCCCCTTCTATATACCGGGGAAGTATGCGGTTTCGTATGGGATTAGATTTCGGTCACAATTCTGCACGCGCAAGATCATATTTTGAGCGTGCAAAAGGGCAAGGGCAAAAGGGAACTGGGATTTGCGGAGAAACGTTCGTCTTGCAGATAAGAAAATATTTAGAGTGAACGAAAATCAACTTTGCATTTAAAATAAGTATTTGGATGTGCACAGACGTTCTCTTTCGCATGTGCAAAGTATCACTTTCTTGCTCCTCTCATACCAGCCATAAGCGCTCTCGAAGCACAGACGGCTCGCGTGCTCAACACAACCCAGCATTAAAATATGCCATAATTCCAGCCAATCAGAGATGAGGCTGCTAAATTTTGATTGGCTGGCTTGAAAACCAACCACAAGACTCCCTGCATCACAAACTGTGGACGAGGAAAATTACATGTTGGAAGATGTTTATGAGCAGCTAAGGGGTATGTGGCGATCCCCCCAGTGGAACGGGCTGTCGCAATGCAGTTGTGTCCGGCGTCTGCTTCCTCCTGGCGGGGTGACCCACACCTCCCATCCAAGGCCTGGAAGTTCTCGTCCGGTCTAATGGCGAGTGCTTACAAGGCCTGTGGACAAGCTGCTTCCGCTCTTCATGGCATGGCATTCCTGCCGGTCCACCAGGCCCAGGCGCTCATGGACATGAATGAGGCTGGTCCTGACCCAGAGCTCCTCCGGGAGCTCCGTGTGGCAACTGTCCTCACCCTCTGGGCGACGAAGGAAACCGCACGTTCAGTCAGTCAGGCGATGTCCACTTTGGTGGTCCAGGAACGCCACCTTTGGCTCAACCTGGCGGACATGAGGGACACGATAAATATCATTTCCTGGATGCCCCTCTCTCCCAGGTTGAGTTGTTCAGCGAAGCGGTCGAGAGCTTCGCCCAACAGTTCTCGGCTGCCCAGAAGCAGACGGAGGCCATTCGACACATCCTGCCCCTGGCGGACCGCTGCTGCTCCCACCCGTCCGCCAGCCGCAGACCCTCCGTCTACTCGTCACTGAGGCCCAGAGACGGGCGGCCCAGACGTGGATCAAGTTGCTCTTCAGGAGATGGCGAACGCGCCACTCCTTCCCCCGGTGGAGGGCCGGGCGGAAAATCTTTTGTTTCCTTTTCTTTTAGTTCCGCCTTTTCAAAGAAATAGCAATTTGTCCCACCTTTTCAAAGAAAGAGCAATTTCTGAAACCTCTGGGCCCCAAGAGGGCGCGCTTGGCAGTCGACGACGCCATGCCTTTTCACTCCCAAGCCCCTCTTTCATCACCAGCGGGCAGCAGTGGCTGTGTCCTGGATGCATTGCCGCCTCCGCACACTCACTCTGCCCTTCGACGGAAGCAGGTTCATGTTGCACCACACGCTCAAACCCCACTTCGGGCCGCTGTGCCGTCCGAGTCGGGTCCCTGCATTCCGCTACGCTGCCCCACTCTGGGTACGTCTGTGGTGCCGTTGATCCTGCT